TGCCTGAGGCCCTGGGTTTGATTCCTCAGCACCACATAAGCAAAAAAGAAAAAGCCGGAAGTGGCGCTGTGGCTCAAGTGGTAGAGTGCTAGTCTTGAGCTGAAGAGCTGAGGGACAGCGCCCAGGCCCAGAGTTCAGGCCCCATGACTGGACCCCCCCCCCAAAAAAAGAAAGACTCTTGGAGTAGAGACTGTATCTGAATAAGAAAAATGGAAAACTTAGGTGATGTCATATCGATGTGTTGTTTTGTCTTTTAAGAAACTGGTTTTAGAAAGCTTTATTGAGTTACAGTGTACATAAAATTAACCCTTTTAGAGTAAAAAGTTTTGTGGTTTGTAATGTATTCATTATCATTGTCTACTTTTAAGGCATTTGTGTCACCCCATAAGAATCCCTTACCCTTAGAAGCCATTCCTTATTCTCCTTTCTATTTCTATGAATTTAGCTATTCTAAACATTTTGTAAAATGAACTCATACTTTTTTTTTTGGTGATTGACTTCTTTCTCTTAGCACAATACTTTTTTATTGCTGAATAATATTCTTTTGAATGGATATACAGATCTTGTTTATCCTAATGTTAATAGGGGTTTCTCCCCAGTTTAGGGCTATTTTAGGTAATGATCCCATTAACATTTGTGTATAAGTTTTAGTGTGGAACTGGATTTTCCTGGGTATACTTGTAGGGGTCTCTAGTTTTTTGTTGTTGTTGGTGGTGGTCATGGGGCCTGAACTCTGGACTGGGTGCTGTCCCTCAGCTAGCACTCTACCACTTGAGCCACAGCGCCACTTCCAGGCTTTTTCTGATTATGTGGTGCTGAGGAATCAAACTCAGGGCCTCATGCATGCAAGGCAAGCTCTCTCCCACTGAGCCACCTTCCCAGCCCCTCTAGTTTTTCTTTTCTTTTTTTTTTTTTTGCCAGTCCTGTGGCTTGAACTCAGGGCCTGGGCACTGTCCCTGTGCTTCTTTTTTTGTTCAAGGCTAGCACTCTACCACTTGAGCCACAGCACTGCTTCCTGCTTTTTCTATTTATGTGGTACTGAGGCTTCACATATGCTAGGTAAGCACTCTACCACTAAACCATATTCCCAGCCTAGTTCTTTTTTTGAGGAATTGCCAAACCTTTTATTTTTTTGGTAGTGATGTGGCTTAAAGTCAGGGTCTGGGAGCTGTCCCTGAGCTTTTGTGCTTTAGCTATCGCTCAACCACTTTGAGCCATAGTTCTACTAGTTTTCTGGTGGTTAATTGAAGATCAAGAGTCTCACAGACTTGCCTGCCCAGGCTGCCTTTGAATTGTGATCTTTAGATTTCAGTCTTCTGAGTAGCTAAGATTACTGGCATGAACCACCAGCGCCAGGCACAAATATTTTCTGTTCTGAGTTTTATTTTCAGTTTTGTTTGATAATGTCCTTTAATACATAGCAGTTTTTAATTTAACTTCAATGAAGACCAGTTTATCTCTTTTTTTCTTTGTTGCTCTCTTCTTTGGGTATCGTATCTGAGTTTATTGCCAACTTCAGGATCATGAAGATTTACTCCTGTGTTTTCTCCTTTTTTGGGGTGGAGGCAGGGAAGTATTATATTTTATTTTTTTGTGGTGTTAGGGTTTAATTCAGGACCTTGCACTCACTTCATTTGCTTGTTTGCTTGCTCCCTCTACTGGTGCTCTCCCACGTGAGCTATACCTCCAGCCTTCTTTTTGTTGGTCATTTTAGAGACACAGGCAAAATTTGAGACCCTCATCTCAAAACAACCAGAGCAAAAAGGGCCAAAAGCATAGCTTAAGCTGTAAAGTATCTGCCTAGCAAGCTTGAATCCTGAGTTCAAACCTCAGTACTGCTAAATAAGACAGTGTGATAATGGCAAAAGGATATTATATGGATCAATAGACTTGAGAGGGCCACTCATTTGCTAGGCAAGTGCTCTGTTCTTTGGCTATGTTCTCAGCTTTTTTGCCTTATTTATTTATTTTTTTTTTCCTGGTCATGGGGCTTGAACTCTGGGCCTGAGTCCTGTCCTTGTGCTCTTCAGCTCAAGGCAAGCACTCTACCGCTTGAGCCACTGCATCACGTCCGGTTTTCTAGTGGTTTATTGGAGATAAGAGTCTCACGGACTTTCCTGCACGGGCTGGCTTTGAACTGTTATCCTCAGATCTCAGCCTCCTGAGTAGGTAGGATTACAGGCATGAGTCACCGGCGACCGGCTTGCCTTAGTTATTTTTCATGCCATGTCTCACTTTTTTTTTTTTGGCCTGGGCTGTTCTTGATGGCAAGTGCCTCCAGTATCTTGGAATTATAGATGAGAACCATCTAACACTCAAACTAGCTTTTTCCCAGACAGGTCTGGGAATGAGTTCTTCCCAGTGTCTGCCTCCCAAGTAGCTGGGCATGAGCTACAAGGGCATGAGCCCCTCTCCTCCCCTGCCCTCTCCTTCCCTCTCCTCCTTTCCCCTCCCTATCTTTCCTTTTTTCCCTCTTTCCCTCCCCTCCTCTTTCCCTTCTCCTTCTCTCTCCCCTCCCTTTCCCCTCCCCCTCTTCTCCTTTTTCCCATTCTTCTTCCCTGTTTCCCTTCCCATCTTCCTTTCTCCATTTTCTGTTTCCTCCTCCTCTTCCCTTTCCCTTTCCTTCCCTTACCCTTTCCTTCCCTTTACCCCTTTCCCTCTCCTTACCTTCACCCTTCCCCTTCCATCTTCCCCTCCCCCATTTCCCTTTCTCCTTCCCTTTTTCTCTTCCCTTCCCCTCCTCTTTCCCCTTTCCTTCTCTTCCTCTCCCTTTCCCATTCCCTTCCCTTTTCTCTCCTCCTCCTTTCTCCCTTTCTCCTTCCCCCTTCCCCTTTCTCCTTCCTCCTTCTCTCTTCCAGTCCTGAGCCCTTTTGCCAGTCCTTGGCATTTAATTCAGGGCCTGGGTGCTGTCCTTGAGCTTCTTTTTGCTCAAGGCTACTACTTGAGCCACAGCTCCACTTCCAGCTTTTTTGTTAGTTTCTTGCCCAGGCTAGCTTTCAGCCATGATCCTCAGATCTCAGTCTTCTGAGTTGCTAGG